CCTTGTACAGATCATCCACCAGAGAATTTGAACGATGCTGCACTAAATTATCAACAGGACTGGAGAGTTGAAGAGGTTGACTGTGACCCAATCCTGTCCACTGGATATGAAGATATGGCCTGTGACCCGGTCATGTCCACTGGATACGAAGGTGATATGAATCTTCAGCTCATGAATCCAAACCTTCTTTTCCAAACTTGTGAATCAAATAATGTACAGCAGAACAACTTCACCAAAGATAATATTTTAGATATTGAATCTGGAACTCCGTCATTCTACACTTTTATGGATGCTGAAGGTGAAGACTTCTCTGGAGAAAACTGGCAGTTACCTCTGGATTTAGGCCCTCTGGAGGATGTAGTATATATAGAGGTATATCAGTTTATTTATGTACAGTACAAGTACAACATCAAATATGTGGTACATAACAAAACATACATTATTTTAAGGATTCATGGACAGAGAATCTTATCTTAACCAAAGTGTCTTTTAATTGCTCTGTAACAAAATTAAACATAATACAGGCAGGTGTGTACTGATCATACCTGAAGAAAACAGACCAATGCTCTGTTGAACAATGTAGTATGTTCCATCATCAATAAAACTTTTCCTTATGCTTATTAATCACTGTTTGCGTACATATTATTATTATGTTAGCATAATGAGCTTCCTTATGTAAGTGTCCCAATCTTACTTGTTTGACCTGGGGGGGGGCTTTATTTCAAACACATTAAGATGAATGCATGGAATTAAATAGGCTGGAGTGAATGTGACATCATATTACCATGAGCTGTTTTTTTCCTTGCACGAAGAAAAGGTATCTGTTATGAAGTTGTGCTGTCGATTCTTTATTAAGAAATGATAAAAACAAAGAATAACAACCTTTTATAATATTTCAAAAGTTATTTTCTACTTGTTGATCTAAAAGATCTTATTCAGAATCCCTTCATGATGTTTTCTTCGATAAAAGCCATATAACATAAGGGCGATATATGGCAGCTTTCAAAGGTTGCGTAATGTTTGGCCTAACTGTTACTGTCACATTTACTATATCCAATGATAACTTGTAGTAAAATATCTATTAGGGTTAGTATAGAGTCTGCATGATTTATAACTCGGGAATATTAAACATTAAACCTAATTTCAACACCTTAGTGATACTGATCTCATGTATTACGACAGCACACACAAAAATTTACATTAACTAAGTTTTTCAAGCTGTTAAGGCATCAGTGCAAGTTGTAAAGTTGACATAATGTCAGTGTTATTATTTTTATCTGCTCCACAGGCCTATAGCTGCCTAGAAACTCAGCATAGCTTTCAACTCCAGTCCACAAATGCATATCAATAAAATGAACATATTTGTTAGGCCTGTTACATCTTCCTTTTTACTTGCAATAAATTAAATATTGTTTTGTAAACATCATAAGGCCATAAGTTAGGACTATGTAAAATGTATGTTCTCTGTAGTGACTTGTCTTTATTGCTTTAAAGTTTACATCATTGGCTATAATATAGATCTAATTAGGGTATTAATATTACTACAGTTATTTTTGATATATACAACAATGGCAGCAGAATCTGATTGCTAACCTTTCTAATATTAGTTTAATATCATTAGAATCTAGATGTATAATTTCATACTGATATGACCGATCTAGTAATAATATACTAGTAGTAGTAGTAACTAGTACAGTCTAATTTAGGGCCTTACTGTTAACATTATTAGATCTAGTTCTGTATTAGTTCTACTTCTGGGCCTACACAGATGTTTTTGCTAGTCATGAACACTGAAGATGTGGTCATCATACGGTTTCTTTACCTTTCAAAAGAAATAAAGATGTTTGAAAAATTATTTTGTGTTGTGTAATGCTAATATAAACTGATGACATCACATATTTCATTACTTGCATGAAGACCAATAACTTTTACATACTATGTAGCTATACAAATGTTAAAGCAATGTCTTGACTTGCTTCAAATATCGTACTCAAAGACACTTAATATGACATCATGCACACTCCAGCCTATATAAGTTGTGTGGACAAATGTTTTTGCAACCAAAAAACTATAAAAACTCTTGGACTACTATTTTACCAACGAATAGTGGGATTGACCGTCACATTATAATGCCCCCACGGCTGAAAGGGTGAGCATGTTTGGTGGGCCAGGGATTCGAACCCGCGACCCTCAGATTGCGAGTCCAGTGCCCTAACCACCTGACCATGCCGGGCCTAGTTTTTTTATTGTGGCAAAGATTCTAGTCTTTCTACCATGGTTCTTAATTTTGAATTCCTGATAGCAGATTAGGCCTACATTGTGGTTGACATTGCACAATCCACTAAGAAATTTTGGATTGCTTATTACCTATGAATTGTGAGATTGACATTGTAATGCTCCCACGGCTGAAAGGGTGAGCATATTTAGTGCTAGGTTTTGATACCACGTCCCGGAGGTTACAAGTCGAGTTCTCTCTGCCCAGTGTAGCGATAATCAACTCGAAATGTGTATGTATTGTATCTTCAACAAGAAGACTTATTTTATTGTAACACATACTCACAAACTTACTTCAGAAGTAGATCTAAAAGTTAAACTAGTGGCTATTCTTAATTACATAAAAAAATATTATATATGATAAAATAACTGATTAACAGTTGCGAATAACTTCTACTCACCTTGTTGTATTTTGGATTTATAACAAAGCTACTAAGGCTATCAACTACTGTCACTAAGTGTGAACTACTGGACAGAGGGAAGGAATTCACTAAGCAGCACACTATCACCCGTGATAAGGGATAGATTGTCACACTTATAATGCACCCACAGCTTAAAGGGTAGGAAAGGTTTTGTAATGTGACACGAAATTTTTGTACAAAAATAGTACAAGTGAAAGAGACAATAAAATATATAAGTTGTTTAAACCAAGCACAATGATGGAAATATGTGCCGCAAATCTATAGGGTAATTTAATTGCTAAAGGTTAGCTTACTTTTCATGAAAAAATTTAAGTAAATCATGAAGCAATTCATAGTGTCAAACGGTCGTGCGATACAGCACCTATTTTATCTGTTAGATACCTGACTGTTGCTAACGAAACTAAGAATAAAATTATCTCTACCTTTTCGAAAAAATATAACCACCCTTTGTTAATCATTCATTGAAGTGTGTTGCAGTTGTGGTATTTACGATGTTGTTGATGAATATATCAGATGACTGTTTGTTTATTTCTCTTAGATTAAAGCCACATTGGCTTATCTGCTGTGTCTACCACAGAGAAACGATTCTCGGATCTTAGTATTGCAAGTCCGTAAACCTACCGCCGTCCGACCAGAGGACACTAAATGAATGTGAGAGAAGTATTTCCATGTCGTGTGATAATTGAAAATTTTGTTCAATATAACCAATTTTTTGGGGGGGGGGGTGGAATAACTAATAGTAAGTCCCTTACATGTGCTTCATTGACTTTTTTTTTTTCAAAATTCTGTCTTTGAGGTAGGTTATTTTATGGGTAGCAAAACGCAATTAAATCTACAACACATAATAATAGTGAAATTTGGGTTAAAACTAAAAAGAGATCAACATGGCCAGTGTTCATCCAGGCTGATAATAAACCCAGGTGATAAATACGTTAGAAAATGTAAAATTTACTAATATTTCACAATGACATTGTGAATATTGAAATACAAAAAAAAAAATATCAAGACAAAATTTTCAATGAATCACAAGTTTTATTTGGTATTATATTATTACATAAGGTAAATATATCCGTTATTCTAAATATACATGGAAAACTTACTCGGTGGTTATAGAACGTTAACAGAAAGTAAGCAAATTAATGATATTCACCAAGTTTACAGTAGCAGAGAAGTAAAAGTTTCGTCAAAAATATTAAAACTTGGAGATAATTTTTTTTTTCTTCGATTAATAGTTAAATGTCTTCAGTAATGAATTACTTACTTATTTATTTTTCGTGTTGTTAATCATCATATTTGTTACTCAACAAAATAACTATACCACCAATCTCCGCATACTTTTTAATATTTATTAAATTTATTAATAGTTAAATGTCTTCAGTAATGAATTACTTACTTATTTATTTTTCGTGTTGTTAATCATCATATTTGTTACTCAACAAAATAACTATACCACCAATCTCCGCATACTTTTTTTAAATTACTTTCAATTAATGAAAAGGTCAATGTCACTGAAGCTAGACTTTAATTCCTCGATGATACAGTATGTCTTGGAACAGTTATTACAAAGTAAACATAGTGTGGTAAAATATTTCTGTAAGTCAATAGTAAGTTACACAAAACATATACATGTTTAAAATATTCATATATATATATATATATGTTTTTATTTCAATAATTTGTAAATTACAAGTTATGTATTCTAGAAGTCTGACATTTACTTCAAAGTGCTGTATATCGAAGTGTACGTCATGTATGAACCATGTTAAATTCAGTTCTTTAGTTATTTTTAGCTTAATTACTTTAATATTTCCTACCGTTACCACCAAAATATCTTTGGACTTTATATATTTGATTGTTATCTGTTTCCACCACCAGTTGTACTTATTTGCACATGTATACAATATAACAATTATTACTGTAAATATTAAACATTAAGACAAAAACTATCAGTTTAACAATACGTCACAAAATTACATACGAATCTTCCACCTATAATCCTGAAATAATGAATGTTTTTTTCTTTTTATATAAAAAGAAAAAATATATATATAAAAAATATTTTTATAAAAAAATATATTTATTATATAAATCAGTTCTCTGTATATAAAAACGTTATTATATTATAGCTTAAACCAACAAGGACATTAACTTGGTAAAACGTTTAGTTCAAAGTATTTAATGGCCATGTATATCTTATAGAAGCTACCATGGACCACTGGAACAGTTTAAATTTTTGAAATCTTTAAACTAGGTGATTGTTAATCTAACTGATTTAGTAAGCTGTATCATCAGACTAAACCATATTTGATTCTCCCTAAAGCTCTTTTATAACTCACAAATTTTTTTTCATCATTTTTGTAAGAGTGGAATATTTATCCACTTCACATAAATACCTGTACTTATTTTAAATAAGTATACAGTGCAAAGACATAGATTGTAAAGATTAAAACCCTTACAAACTGTGTCTTCAAATATACCATGTGCTTTCTTTTTGAGCACTGGTACTCGCTGTTCGAGGACAGAGAAAAAGAAGATCCAAACATTAAGCTATCACTCTTTATCTGAAGAAACAGTTTTAAAATATTCAAGGATATACAAGTTTTAATTTATTAACCATATCAAAAAACAGAAAAACTAATTTATTTCTTTGGTATTTTAAACATTGTAGACATGGTATGTAAAGACTGGATTAAAATATAAAATTAATTCACATCTGAACAATAAAGTAACAAATAGTCAGGGTTTTAACCATGTTTTTACAAAAACATATTTCTACTTTGGATCTTGCACACAACTCATAACAAGTTTTCTCGGTCCTTGCGCGTACAATCTCCCATGGAGATTATCGTACGGAGATGCCAAGAAACAATTTTCAATTGGTCATTTCTCCGTAACATACATACCAACTTGTAGGGACATCAGTAGTTTCAGCAATCAGATACTAAATGCATTTTCTCACACATTGAAAAATTAGTGACAAGATGTATGCATTTCTGTATTCCAGCTAAACAAACTCATCTTAATTCTTCAGCGAGATTATTCTGCAATTTATTTCTGATTGCTTACCAACTATTAGCCCTGGAATCTAAAGAATCGATCACTTGTGAGCAGGATTCTTCACGGTAACAGCAAATTGAAAATTAAGAATTTCATCAAAAAATACGACATTTACACAAACATGAGTCTAACTCTAAAAAAGTAAAAAAAACACTAAACAACTTTAATTAATACGTGTAATAAATTAGTCCAAAAATCCTCTTCCATAATTGGATTTTACTGGACTAAGGTGTTCGTCTCCGGCTGATCCTTTTCATTGATCTCCATAGTTTCCAAATCACCAAACACCTCCATCATATTCTGTGAAATAAAAACAAGAAAAGTTAGAAACATATAATGGAGAAAAAAATCCATTCAAAACTGGAATATTTAGATACATAATTTTTACAATCTCGTAGTAACTTATTTAAATAAAATTAGGAGTTTAGTATATAAACAACAATAAACTGCAGAACTTTAGAAACTAGATCTGTTTATTCAGTGGGAAGTATTTGGTGCTACCGTTACAGGAAATTCTTACATTGCTTACATTCAATATAGCAATGGAGTGTTTATTTTTTCAAGTTATAAAACATTAGGATATTATACACTAACGATATAAACCTGGTTTTAAATGTAAAACAAATTGTATTTCTTAGTTGCCTTTCTAAAGATTGATTTTTAATAGATTAAGTATATAACATGTAAAAAGGTAAAATTCAGACACTAATACCATTAATTTTTTTATGAAATTACCAAAATATTTCATCCTAAAGATTAAAATATAGAGAATAAGAATATGAATTTTTAACAAAAT